AATCTATTAATTTAACTAACTATGTAATTAAAATTAATTGGAAAAAAACCACGTTAGGTTCTATCACATTAACTTATTATTCCTTATAGCTTAGGTTGTAAATATTCTTTAAAAAACGATGATCGAATTATTTTAAGTCTATGATAATATAGGAAACAGATAGCAAAGAGAGATGAGAAATTATGTAATGTCTTATTAATGTTTAATTATGAATTATGAGGACAACATGTATCTGGTAGGCGGTGGGTTTCCGATTCCCTAATGTTGTAATAAAAAGGCGGGTTTTCGTGAAAAAAAAAAAATAAAACAATTCCAGATACTTTGTTCGTGTAAAGAAGTATTTACAGAAAACGTAGATTGCCATATTTTTTACTAAGTTCTTCGAGTATATTCAACGAAACCATATGATGGCGTTAAAACGATTTGAAATGAAATCGATTAGAAATTAAAACGCATTCTTGTCATGTAAACCATTTAAAACGGTCAAAATACTTCAAACCGATTTCAAAATTAAAGCGCTCGCCCTATGTAAATCAAAATTCGTTTTAAACGTTAAAACGATGTTTTTATTTGAAAGTGCCTTTATGATTTTTCATTTTGATTACCGCGATCACACCCGAGTAATCAGTTTTTGTTAAAAATGTTCACTAAACCAATTTAATATTTGGACAAATGAACGGATACGATAGGTGTTGAGCTTAACATTTTTAAGAAATTTAAAAACGAATTAAGTGAGAGCCGCGTAAGCACAATTTTAGCGCCTCCAGTTTAAAAACACTAAATGTGTAGTTTGAAAAAGAGCTGTTTCTATTTATTTCCTGTTGGGATTTGTGTCTGGGTTTTTTTTTTACAAGATTAATAGTTAGTTATTATTAGGTTACACGGTAACTATTACTTGGGAGTTGTATTACGCGTGGTCATTGTCTGCAATTTTTTGCACAAGATATTTGGTTAGCGCCCAATATTTTTGTAATAAAGGCACGCGTTGTGGAAAAACAGCAATGTGTATATAATTTAAAATAGCATGGCTGTTTCGACAATATTGTCAACTCATGATTTGAAATAATAGTTTCATGGTGTATTTAATCGTAACCGTCTTATACATAAAATATAATTTCAAGCGTATCATAACTTTCGCAATTCTTTTATCGATTTTGTTAAAACTTTATTTTAACTCGTTGAATTTCAAAAGTTGTGGAACATTTGAATACACGAAATTATATATATATATATATTTTTGAAATAATATGTTTTCAACCTCTACTACGTGGATAATTATGTAATCGCCGAGAAAGTTATTAAAGTTGAAATGTTAAGACTGCACATGCAGTGCGCTGAATTATTGCACTAAAATAAATACTAAACTCCACCCTTTCTCCTATTTAACTATTATTGTTTGATAAACATTTTAAATTTAAAATTGCAGGGAATTTTTTTTTAAATTCTAGTAGATCATCAAATAAGTAATGAGGTGTAACATGACATTTTGAAGGGGGAAGGGGGGAAAACAAAAAAAAAATGTGAAAAATTGATATCACGTTTTATACAAACATTATAAAAAAAAATTAATTATTAACTAAATCCAGTGAGATACTGGTGTATGATAAAAGAATCACCCTGCATATAAAAAAAAATGAGGTTTTTTATGTGATACAACAATGTTTGTGTAATCCATCTTAATATCCAAACATTTATTTTAATTTATAAATATTCCACGAGAGATGTAATATGTTCTGAAAATCTTAAAATATTTTTTTTTTCTATACATTTATAAAACTTATTTCGGAATACTGACAATTGTTCTACAATTTTAATTACTCAAGTAAAACATAAATGGACCCAATATATAATAATAATCGTCGTATAATAATCGTTTGAACGTCGGAGACTTCAAATAAAATAACTAGGTCGATTTTAAAGACTTTGTTTTTGTTTTTGAATAGTTGGTTATTTAGTACATTGGTGTATGACTGTAACTGTTTGAACAAGCATACAAAACAATACATTTCAACACTTTAAGGTCTTTTATATACTAACGCATTTAATAGATCGAAAAATATGTCAACATCTACAACCATGAAGCTTTATAATGTGTATTATTATTTGAGTACATCGGTACTTTCGTACCGATACGAATTTAAGGTAAATAAGACAAAAAAAAATATTACCAACTGTGTGTTATTTATCGTTTTTATAATACAATTCGCATTTCATACGACGAAAATTTAGAGCATAAAATAAAACCTTACACGTTATGGAAACGTTTGGAAACCCAAATTTGGGCCTCTGGTTAAAGAAGTTTGTACAAGTTAGAAAATAATCGTTTCACTCGTTAAAATATTTCAAAAAATCAATAGAATTAGGTTGAGGGATAGCGGGGAAGAGAGGTAACAGGTATCAAAAATTATTATAACTGAAAGTGATAAAATAATTTTTAAATAAACACTTCAATGCGAATCAATGGACTATAGGTTCAAACCGGTACAGTCCAAACTAAGCATGATAAGAAAATATTATATGTAAGTAAGTGAGTAGTAGTAAGCAGTAGTAGGTAGTAGTAGTAGTATATGAGTAAGTAAGAGAGGCTCACAGATAAATATACAAATATCGAGAAATGAATTATACCTAATGACAATTATTTGCTTAAAAATGTATTTTTAGTTTAAGGGTTGATACGATTAGATACGAACATGCATATCTAAATGTATATTATATGCATATCTATATTATACCGGTTGCTATAAGATATTTCACAATAACCCCTTTCTTAAATCCTCATACCAAAGGGGAAAAATTACAATGGTCTTGAAATAAAAAACTGGTACTTGAGTATCAAAACTTAATAGTATCATTCTGAATAGATGTCCATATAAGTTTTTTAATGATTAAAATTTTTTTTTTTTAAATTAAAGGTGTTTATGTTGAAATATAGAAAAACACAGTTTTCCGGAAATTAAAGAAAAACTGTAATTTTTCTTCGTTTAATATATTATGGATCACATGAGTTCTAATTCTTGACAAATTTTCAACTTGAAAATCCTAAAATTACGACTAAAAAACCCAAAACACTTGCACCCCCTTAGGGGGTTTGGAAATGAGTATGATTTAAATTTGAAACTATCGACGCGTGGGGACGATTTTCAGAAAATCGTCAACAAGTCGAGTTGGCCATGTATTTCTTAAGACCTTGAATTTGTTATCGTCTTTTAAACGTGTAAAAAGCGATTCCTATATTTTCATTTATGTAAACAGTAGAAATGGAAACGCACTCCAAATCACCCAAATGTTTTTCTGAAGTAAAAAAATTGTGTTTTCGAGTTAACGCTCTGGGGAGAATTCGATAAATATTACTTACATAGAAAATCATATTTTTCAATCTTTGTTTACTTTTGAAACCCACGTACCAATGTGCGAAATTATACAAAACCCTCACTCTCTAATTATTAAAATAATTTATACACCTATTTCATTGTCTTATCATTAATGACTTATTGGTTCGTATCTGCTATGATTTATGATCGCCGCCATTTTAAATATTTAGAAATTGAGTGGAATACAAAGCAATTGGGGCATTTTTAAAATTGATAAAACTTTTTTTATTTGACACTAAAACCAAATGCTTTCATCATAGTTAAAAGATGGAATGAGTATAGTTAAATTTTCAAAAAAACAAATAAATGTTTTTTTAATTAATATTAAATATGGTTATATGCAGTAAAAAAAAAAATAAAGAAAAACATACTTTGGCTTGGTAAAATTTAATTTTTTTTTTGATTTAGGAGTAAAATTACTCATCTCATTTTCGAACTATTATAAAAACGTAGTTTTTTTTTTAGTGTCCATAAAAAAATATACTAACAATTTAAAAATGTCTATTGAAAAATATTTAAGATAGCAACAACTTTAAAATTGGTGGAAAAATTAAAAAAAATTAGGCACCTCATTTTAGGCCAAGACGAACCAATAAGTCCAATGGTATTAGAATCGCACGGGGTGAGGCATATATATATATGTATATATATCATAAAAAAATCTTTATTTAATTTACTTGGCCGGAAGTCGTAAGTCTGTTTTCAAACTTACTACATAGTATATATAGCACTTGTTATCATAGGAACATAGTAGAAAAACTATAGCAGGAAAAAAATTTAACTTTCACACTTCCAACACGCCAGTGTATCTTTTCATGAACCATTCACTCAAAGTTTCCTCTTAAGTTAAGATTTAGAAATATTTTTACTCATAGACAAAATGATTTAAATTGAACATAATACCTCGAAGCTTATACAAATTAACAGATAAATTAATTGACATGGTCGAAATTTATTACAATCACTTTTTTCTTAGGAAGAATATCGGGCCAAGGGGGTGGGCGATCGCTCCATCGCCCTGCCCCCCTCAAATCCGCCACTGTAAAACTGTGTCTACAAAGTCTGAATAACTGTCAAACTGCTAAATACTGTACATTATATTCATAAACATTTTTAAAAATAAAATCAACATTTCTTAATGAGAAATCATTATTAATTAATTTGTTAAACGAGCATGTGAAATTTAAAAATATGTTTAACATTTTCGAGTTTATTAGCAAATAAGTATACAAATCTCTTCAAAAACCTTTTTAAGACGACGAAAAAAGCATAACTTTATAAATTATGTGACTATCTCGTATATGTTTTTAAGACAACTCATTATAAACTACATTAAGAACTATGGGCATGTTTTTGTTTTTAAATAAATTTCGTATGGTACATACAGGATGGTTCAAATTGCATGTTCAATAGATAATAAGCACATATGTAAAATACAAAAAATTTAAAATGCATTTTCGAAATAAGAAATAATTTATTTTTGTCTATTTTTAAAATAGTTACATTGAGTATAACATAATCGCATCCAATTTTGAATACGATACAAATGAAAAAAGGAAATAAATACTAGTAATAAAAAATGTAATCATAATAAAATTAACATGAAATATAAGCTAAATTAAGCTGAATAGCTACAAAATTATTACAATAAAAATAATTTCAGTACTCTCAAGATAAATTAGTATAATTATGGTGTAATAATAATTTGGATTGTAAGAGGTTCGTCAATCTTGTTTTTGACTACAACATAACCTGAAAAAAATATACGTTCATTAGTAACGGAACCCAACTTAAGCTTGGATGCATTAGCTGAGATGGTAATAGTTTTGTAAAGAAGTGCTATTGTTGTGTCTTTAGTCACGATAACTGTTTTTCCTTTGTATCTGATTATTTCAGTACCACCATTTTTTTCGTTTATAAAACTGTATGAGATTAATATTATGGTGGGTTAAAAGTAGAAAAAAACAATTACTCCTTCTTTCCTAAAACAGACAAATAATAAAAAAAAATTGTCGGTCCGTCGTCGAAGGGGAGCTCTTCGGGGTGAACCACTTAAGCCAAGGGTACGCCCTCTCGAATTTGACTATTTTCATGATCTATATCTTGTATTAACACTACCTTTGTATAAAAAAAAATCCCCTTTAAAAAGATTATAACAAAATTAATGAAAAATACAATATTTTATTTATTTGTAAGCAGATAAAATTATTCTACTGAAAAACTTACCTAATTCTTGCGTATTTCGTATGTCTATAGGATCTGATTTTGTCATTCCGTCATAGGAGTCAATTGCGAGTCCTTTTTTTAATGCAGGTTTTAATATTTTTAAATTTTGAACGTAAACTTCAAGATTATTGATTGTGGATTCAAGAAACTTGAGCTCATTGTTTACATAGGCATCATTATCATGTTTAATATCGAACTTATCGTCAATCGAAAATTTAAGGTTATATAAATTCATTAGTTTTAAAATACGATCTGAAATAAATGTCATCTCCTTTACTCTATTTTCCCATTTATAAGTACAACTAGTTTCCAGAGCATTGAAATTGAAGAAAATAGTATTTAGGAAATTTTGCAAATCATTGGGAAAAATTTCCAGTTCAATCAAAGACTTAAAAGTGTTGAGTAGTTTCTTGCCTACGGCCACGAATTTCACTTCAAACTTACCACCCCCCCGATATTTTTTATTTATCCGAAAATATGTGTGAATGCGTATAAAAAACGGATATAAAACAGCGGCACATACATGTTGCTGGAATGAAATAACGTTGTTTTGGTCGAAGCTTGCTCGAGTCAGAATAAATAAGTCATATATACTCGCATAAGCTCCGTTGATTTTATATTCAGTAATTACATTACGTGGGAATAATGATGTATCCAAACTTAATTCATTACTACTGCTGGCTAGATTCGTTGACATTTCTATATTGGACACAGTATTCAAATAATCGACTTCGGGTTCCAGTAATGACATGAATAGCAAGTTTTCGGGTTTAAAGTCATTACAAATTCCCGTATCGAACGTCGACTGAAAATATTTTTCCAATTCTATTTTGTTATGATCAAGTATCAACAAAACTTCCGCTAAACCGTCCGTTTTCAATGGCCACTCTTTTGCCAATAATTTATTGATAACTTCAAATTTTGGTTCCTCGTATTCTTTGTCCTGAACTATGGGATCTTTTTTAACATAGCAATCACGGTCTATTTTATTTTTAAGCGCTTCTGTAATTTTCTTATAAAAGAATTTGTATCCCCTTACATAATTTGGTTCCGTCGTATGTGCTTCCTGAACGTTCACGCGGGTAGTCCTTGACAAGTTATTTAAGTACAAATTTACTTGCATTAGAACTTTCGGTGGTTTTGGTGATATCTGTGTGATTCTAAGTTCATGGAGCATAGCTAAAACGATTTTTCCTTGAGACCTAAGTTGGTTATCATAAAATTCTAAGGCGCTCAAAAGTTCTTCTGGACTCGCGGAAGTATCACTCTCGTCATCAATAGTTACTCCAAATTTATTTTTAAAAACAATTCCATTCAAGTTAAAATAGTGTAACATATATCTTGAATACATGCAGGGTAAATTTTCCAAAGAATTTCTTTGGCGTTTTCTCATCACACGATCTAGAAATGTCGGTGATGCAAATGTATCACTCACCAACAGCAATATAAGAACCACACTCAAAGTCATTTTACGTGTTTTTTCGATCAGCAGACACGTTCGACTAGCTCGCCAACATTATGTATTAAGCTTCAATGCGATATTTTTTTATTTTTTGTTTACTTATACAACCCATGTTTTTTTTGTTGACACGATAAACATGAGCTGTGTCATATAATATTCTGGGATTATTTACGCTTGTAGTGTTTTACCTGTGATAAAATAAACATTATTAAATATCTATATACATAGTCTAGTATATATAATATTATTAAAATGCAATACATTTAAAAAAATAAAACAATTTAAAATTGATTGAAATATCAATAACCGTTTAAATAATATTTCAATATAATTATTTCATTATATATTCCTGATTTAATAATCGTAAAGTCTATAGCTTTATATATATATATATATATATTCTAACCCGTTCAAGCCCTGAATTTGTTAGACTGTTATGTCATATAATATTATGATACAAATCCTCAAGTGTCGCTTGAGTTTTTTTTTAATGCTCATATTGTATTGTCTAAACAACGACGTCTGTATATGTACAGGGTGATTGGGTTAACTATACGCCAGCCAATAACTTAGAAGATAAATTAATTTTTTTACAGTTTTATGGTAATTAGTATGACAAATATTTTTAACAAATTGAACCCCTTCCCTTTTAATCAAAAACCGTATAAACATGAGTTTTTTAAATAGTTACGCATATATTTGATTACACTTTTAATTTAAGAACTATTTACTGAACATTTAGAATAGTCGACAGCCAATTTTAGATAATTAGTACTACTCTCCACCTTTCCTGTAGAACAGTATAAACAGCACGTATAACCCCAGCATAAACTATTTTTATTTGAACGTTTTGTTTTTCATAAGAAATATTATAATAAATGATATTCTGACTTATAAAAGTGAAATGAGTATAGTAATATAATTCGATAATCCCCTTTTTTTTATTTCTAATGTAAAAAAACAGTAAAACCACTAAAAATTATTTTAAAAATTACAAATTTTTCATGAATGGAATTAACAATTTTGATTCCAAAATAGAAGAATATATGGTTTGGGTTTTTGTATTAAAATGTTTTCTAAATCGATTACTAAGATATTTATTTGATTGTGAATGTAAATACTGCATAAGCAGAAGACCTCTTTGTGTTCGACCATTGCTGCTTTAGCCTCGAGGCCGCTGTTTATCCATATTTCCTTGACAGGGATATTATATTTAACGTATATTGAGGTTTCTGCGCTAGCTCTACTTGCTATTGTTTGTTTGATTTTTGTGTTTCATTTCCGAGTGTGTTTTTTGTTGCTGTTACTGATGGTGTATTTTCAGTTGGACATTCAGACCAGTCCATGGATTGTGTTGGTTATATGTTCATTATAAGTGTTATTTTAGGTGGTTCGTCGGTTTCCAATAACTCGATATCGTCTTGCGATAGCTAGGTCAAATAAGAAATGTATATTTTTTAGTACACTTTTAATAGTATAGCGACAGACACTTTGTAGGAAAGTTGTCGAGAGGTTACAGCCTACAGGGTTCTATTTGTTTGAAAATATATTTAATATGTTCTACTTTGGTGGTGACCGAAATGAATCATTGGCCTTATACTTATTGAGGATGATAATACAATAATGATAATATATTTAATACAGATATTGTTATTCGTAACAACGGTAAAAATGCTGCCGAAATATGTGTAACGTATAGTGTAATGTTTTGTGGCTGTAATGTTAAGGGTTTCTAATATTTCCTTGTTTTCCTAAATGCTAATGTTTAATGGTTAAATGAAGACTCCTATGTTATGTACCGGTTGATTGATTTAACTATAAGTCGGTAATAACTTAGAAAATATACATAAGAATTTATTTTAATTATTTTTTCTTATACTTTTATAGTAATTAGTTAGGACAGATTTAATGTCATATTAAATATATATTAAATATATATATATATTAAATATATATTAATATATTCATATTTTTAAAAAAAATAACCTTATCCCTAACATGTTAGAATTGTATAAACGTGTGCTTTTTTAATGGTAACCCATTTATTTGATTTACTTTTTAAATTAAGAATAATTTGCTGAATTTTTTTGAATGTTCAACCACCTATTTTGGATATTCAGCACAACTCTCAACCCTTCATTTATTACAGTCTAACCTGTTGAAATAATAATTAATATTTTATATACCAGGAAGTATTTCGCAATATAAATATGTTGTTTATCATTATAATAAAAATACTTAGTTAGTAAACAGGAAAATATTATTAAAAAACAAGATTGTGTTTCCAAACACCGTACAATATTGTGTTCGCGTGTCATTTTACGGTTTTGGCTTAATAGGGTTGTTTGTAAGAGCTCAGGGCCCATTCTATCTGGAACGATTTTATGTATAACTGTGTATTATTGTTACACAGTTTTATTAAATTCTATGTAATGTTATCTATTATTGTAATTGCTATATGTGTTTAATCATTTCATTTATTCGTGTGGTGTTATTTATTCAAATACTATATCCACTAGTGCTCACTCTAACGTTATATTCTAAAAATATTAGTACATAAGATTTCATCATAACCCATCACCGTTCAAATAAAGAACAGTCTAAACCAGTACAGTATAGACATTGTATAAACCGGCATAATCTTATCCAATGAGAAATTTTTTTAAAGAAATAATTTTGTTAAAAAATACACTTAAAGTGTGCAGTAATAATGTTTTATCCATTACCTAGGTTATTATGAAAAAACTCTTTTAGAGAGTTATTGAATTTCTTAAATTGTTAGATAACATAGATTGTTAGATATATTATATCAAAAAGATAACAGATAACAGTTCGGATTTTTTCTCATTTTTACTTGTATTCATACAAATTTAATCTTAATCTTAAATCAAAAGTTTTATTTTAGTTCTACTTATTTACCCTGGTAATATCTGTGTATCTGTTTTCGTGCTTGCTCGACTTTCCTCTGCTGGGTTCTTCAAGTAAAATCCTCTCAACTTTTACGTGAGTTTGCATTATTTATCCGTTATCACGACCCGGCGATTACAGCCGATTAGCTGTACCACCAGTGGTATTGTCCACACAGGTACGCTCACGTCCGCTTATCAGCGTCTCTCCGCGACACCTACCTCTACCTCAACCACTCCACTCACTGGCTATACTTCGGTTGCATATGCCAATTTCTATTTACTGCTGCTTCGTTGCATGTTTGGTCGTATCCTCAATTTTTTAAGGAGCAACTCAATAAAAAATATTCACCGCCCGTAAATCCACAATTCGTCGCTCATCTTAACACTACTTGTTTCTCTCGTTCTGAATCTAAATACACTTGTACGAATTTTATAATGGAGAAAAATTTAGTCTCTCTTATCGCCTCAAATAACGAAATTAAGTCATCTCAAAACAAACTAATTTCCTCAATAAACGATAAATTTTCCCGTTTTAATAAAAAAAATCGAACGCGTTTCCACTTTGGCTAAATATAATGTATAGTTAAAAATGAGGTTGTTGCATTAAGAAATAAAGTAGAAACCCTTGAGAAAAATTAATCTTCGTAAGAGAACAAAATCGTCCCACAGCTCCTTCAAGAATTGTTGGAGCGGGAAAAATGTTTATGTAACGTCATCGTCAATGGACTATTTGAATCTTCTGCTGTTTTATCTGCTGGGCGTATCGCTGATGATATACAACATCTCACCAAAACCATCTAACTACTTTCGATGTCTCTTCCCCCGGAATCCAAGCTGATTAGATTGGGTCGTGTAAACAACAAGAGCCCACGGCCATTGAAAGTTATATTTCCTTTGAAAGCACTTTTCGACCAATTTCTACGCGACTTTTTAGCTGGGTTGCGTTCTCGTGCTCCTTCGGCCCCTCCCATATCGGTGTCAGTTGATTGTGACAGAACTTTATTGTAGAGACAGCAAATAAGACAAGTCTACGCTGACCTAAAGCAACGTCGGGAAAATGGTGCGAGCAACATCATCGTCACATACACTAATGGCGTTCCCTCGATTGTCCAGACTAACAGCGATGGTGCTCTCAACAATCTTTCAACTCGTCGTCCAGCTGCTCCGCCAAAAAACTAATCTTCCAGGATGATAATTTCATGTCTTGCAGTTATGTAGGGCCGCCATCTACCTAAAGGATCCACAGTGTCTTCATACTGTTCTTCAGGCCTCATGCTTTTATTGTAAACAGTCAATTAATACTTGTAGTAAATTTTTTGGATTTTGTTACCCGTTATAAAACTATAAATTCTTTTAACTTTAATGTTAGCGATAATGATTAATGTAATTTAAATATTTTTTATCAAAATGTTCGGGGGCTTAGATCTAAACTAGATTTGGTCAGAGCTAATTTTCCTGTGTTTGGCAAGTATGATGTGGTTATTCTTTCCGAAACTTGGCTTACTCCTGATATCCATAACTCTGAACTTGGCTTCACTAACTTTCGTGTGTATAGACTGGATATGAACAGTTCCACTAGTAACTATTCTCCAGGAGGTGGGGTCCTGATAGCTATTAGATCCAACCTTAATTCCTCGATAATTTTTACAAGTGTTAATAACGTTGAGCAAATTTTTGTTCTTGTAAAAATTCCCTCTTCACTCTTTATTTTTGGTGTAGTGTATCTTTCACCCAACAGTCCTGTTCAGCTGTATGAATCCCACGTATCTTCGGTGGAAAGTATCCTTGCCATATATTCTCCTAAAACTGTCGTTCTGTGTGGTGACTATAACTTACCCAACATCAACTGGGCTTCCGATGATATTGGATTTATTGCAACTGGTGCATTAACTCCTGTTCGACATCGATAACGGAGCCACAAAATAGCCGTGTTATCTGCCGCCACATGGTGCCGACCGCGATGTATGTGCGGTGTCCCAACCGGTTTTTTCTTTGTTTTTGTTTTACTGTAGTGTCCGGTCTGGTGCCCGTTGTTGGTATTGTTAATTTTTTTTTTGTTCCTTTCTCCCCTTTTTGTTTCTCTCTAAACCATTTACTCCTATCCGACCTAGATGG